TTATATATATATATGTGTGTGTGTGTGTGTGTGTGTGTGACTTTTTTATTTTATAAAAATTAATTATAATTTTTTTGGTTAGTAAATGTAAAATTTAAGCTTTATTAGTTTACTTTTGCTAGACCCTAAATTTCGTGGACATAGTAATACTGAGGTGTACTTTCAAAAGACGATATTGTAGGGATGATATTTAGTTAGGATAAATTTGATACTGGACATAGTTATACTGAATTGTACTTTTTCAAAGAAGAAAATAACGTAAGTTCAGAAGACAAAACTTTAAGATAAATATAGTAAAGTTCAGAAGAAAATTGTGAATTTTTTAAAAAGTTTACTTTTTTCGACAAATACGGTACCCAGAATTTGAGTAAATCGTGCAATAAGATTTTAAAGCCGCTTTTGTTAGTAGACACAAGTCTAATTCACAACTGGCCACAAATCTCAGTACTTTTATTTATTTATTTTTACAAAGTGGTATCGTAAATTCGTGGTCAAGTTAGAGATCGATTGTCAATTTCAAATTAAGGAATGTTTTGGTATTCAAAACGTACTAAAAAAAATGTAATCGTTCTCCAAATCCGAAATATTTAAAAATGTGTGTGTGATGGGTCTTAATCCTAAATCAAAATCATATACTCGTTTATCCTATGAGTTGTTTTGTAGTTTTAGTTCTAAAGTCTCGGAATCATTAACGTTCGCATTATGAGATTCAATCCATATATTAATAGCGAACCTCGTATATATTAAATTTTTTGATTTGGTAAATATTTGACAACCTTAATTATAATACAAATAGCTAACTTGAGCATAGATAAGCCTCTCATAATATTTTTTAAAAGGTACACTTGTTTTCCAATCTTAAATACAAGGTACGTAAAGATGGTAAACAACCCTCTTCATTTTAGTTAAGGTATCTTGAAATATTTATAAGACAACACACTCACTCTCAACCTTAAGCACAAGGTGCATAAGGTTGTAGGTGACCTCCATATTTTGTGATTAGTCGAGACCTCTTAGAATATTCCCCACAAACGGTACACTTGTCCCTAGCTTTAATCCCTCGATGTTTTGTGTATGATGGTCGATTGCAAGTCAATATTTCTTGTGTCTTTTTGAGACAATTTTAAGTGCGTGGTGGATGGTTGTAAGTCAATCATACTCATGTCTTTAACAAGTCGCATATTGCCTGGTTTGTTATCGATCTTATGCATGTCTTTCCGAGTCATCTTTTGCATGATGATCAATTTGTTTTCGATCCTTCACACATATTTTTCGAGTTGACTTTCGCATGATGGTCTGTTTGTTTTCAATCCTACACATGTATTTCGGAGTCATCTTTCGCATGGTGATCAATTTGTTTCTGATCCTATGCACATTTTTCTAAGTCATCTTTTGCATGGGTCAATTTGTTTTTGATCCTACATATGTCTTTTCTAAGTCAATTTTCGTGTGGTGGTCTATTTGTTTCTATGCACATCTTTTTTGAGTTGTCTTTCGCTTGATGGTTGATTTGTTGACCTTAAAGGGTGCCTCACGCTAAGATAATTTTACCTTAAACAACTTTTAAGCCAAGGATTTCTTCTCTTATATCGACCTTAAAGTACTCTTCATACTTATGGAATTTTGTTATTTTTTGACCTTAAAGCACTATTCACACCTAGGATTTTTCTTCTTGTGTCTACCTTAAAGGCCTCTTTACACCAAGGATTTTTTCTTTTTCTTCGACCATAAAGCACTCTTTACAACAAGGGAATTTTGTCTTTTTTCGACCTTAAAACATTCTTCACACTAAGGAGTTTTTTTTCTTGTCTCGACTTTTAAATGCTCTTTATGTCAATTATTTTTTCTCTAATATCGACCTTAAAATGTTCTTCACGTCAAGGATTTTTTCTCTTATGTCAACCTTGAAACGTTGTTCATGCCAAAGGAATTTTACCTTAAAATGTTTTTAATGCCAATGTTTTTTCTCTTGTGTCGACCTTAAACTACTCTTCATGCTAAGGAAATTTTACCTTAAAGCTCTTTTCATGCTACAGAGTTTTTCTTTTTCTTCAACCTTAAAGCGCTATTCATGCTAAAAAAAATTTCTCTTATGTCAACCTTAAAGCATTCTTTGGGGTAAGGGACTTTTACCTTAAAACATTTTTCATGCCAAAAACTTTTTCTCTTATGTCGATCTTAAAGCACCCTTCATGTCAAGGATTTTTTTTTCTTGTATCGACCTTAAAGTGCTTTTCACGCTAAAGATTTTTTTTTCTTGCTTCAACCTTAAAGCGCATTTTATAATGAGAAAATTTTATCTTAAAGTACTCTTCATGCCAAGGATATTTTTTTTGACCTTAAAGCTCTCTTCATGTTAATAATTTTTTCTCTTATGTCGACCTTAAAACACTCTTCATGTCAAGAAAATTTTACCTTAAAACGCTCTTCATACTAAGGATTTTGTTTCTCGTGTGTCGACCGTAAAATGTTTTTCATGTCAAAATTTGTTTCTCTTATGTCTACTTTAAAACGCTATTCATGCTAAGAGAATTTTACCTTAAAACACTTTTCACATGAATTTTTTTTTCTTATGTCAACCTTAAAAGGTTCTTCATACAAAGGTGAATATTGGTGAAGATCTTAAAACATTTTTCACACAAATATTTTACTATCATTGAAAATTTAAAGGAGTAATTGATTTTAATAAAGTCATATGACATGTTATTTTAATAATTAAAATAAAACAATAACGTGTAATTTATTAGCTTGTTATATTATTAAATTAGTATGAAACAAAAAAAAAAGGTTGAAAAGATTTTGAGTGGCGGAAAATTTTTTTTGTTGAAGATAATTCTTATGGTTTTTAAATAAGAAATAATTGTTTTTGGAGGTTCAATAGAGAATAGTAAAATTGTATAGTTATACTCTTATTTTAAATTTGAAAGTTTTTTTTTTTATGAATATTGGAGTTAGGTTTAGTTTTATATCATGTAATAAGTAATTAATAATGATAATTATGTAAAATAAATATTATGTACTAAAATAAAGAGTCTATTAATTAGCAATAAATATAATAATTTTTAAATAAATAATTATAATGAAAATACTATAAAATGGTAATAGATTACTTTAATAATATTATTATTATCTTATTAAAGCAATATTATTGTTATTTTTTTTTGTACAAAAGGAAGGTAGACAAGAAAGGGCGTATGTTACAAGAGTGATGATGTTATCTTATATTCCCAACTTTTTTTTTTAATTCAGAAAAAGATTCTATATTTTTTTAGAAGAATAAAAGATTTTATTAGTTTACACAAATTACTATCCATTTGTTGAGCTTCAACTAAATGATATAATACATTACACTTGCTTATAGAAAAAAAAAATTGGGATGTTGATGTTTAGGGTTTAGGGTTAGAAAACTGTTGTTTCGAAGAAAAGAAAAATAAAATTCATAATATATATGCAAATATTAATCTATTTGATGGTTTATTATTTTTTTAAATCAATCAACCATGAACTTATCTAATCCGATAATGGAAACTAATTGTATTTACACATCAAAAATTTGAAAAGACACCAAATTCTTCAAATTAAATATTTTAAAATTAGTCTATAAGTCTAAATAACAATAAAATCATAATACAATATTTAAATAAATTGTCATAGGCTATGTTAGATGAATCAAAACCAATTCGAATATCTAGGATCTCATCATGTGCACTATTAATCGGTTAGGTTTAGTTCGGCTAACAAATAAACAAAATTATCAAAAAGTGTTTTTATATTATACAGAGTGATGCATGTTATAAGTTTTGGAACTATATTTTTTTACGCAATTATTATTTGCATATGTTTCAGTAAAATAAAATCTAACCTTAAAGAAATGAGAGATGAGAATTGCATACTTAGTTGTCTTTTATTTCAAGCTTGATAATCACATAAACCTATTAGGGGATCAAGAGGCATCTAATAGCAAAGTCAAAATTTAACCACATGGTCATTGGTTGCAGTTGTAATAGTCATGAGAAGAGTTTTCTCGAAGTCTCACGGTGGCATTGAAATGTTCTGGTATGGAAAACATATTAGAAAATATCTATTTGTTGTCCAAGTTTGAAGCATTAAAAAATGTGTGTTCTAATGTGTCCTATCCTTAAAACAAAGTTTTATACTCGTTTATCTTGCATTTATAAGCCCATTACTTTGTGCATTTAATTTGTATATTAATATTGTTGATTCTCATATTAAATCTCTTGATTTGATAAATGTTTGATAACCCACAAATATGAGCATCTAACTTGAGCATTGTACAATGGGTAGGCCTCTCAAAATATTTTTGAGACGGTAGAAGTATAAATGTCGAACTACTTGAGTTAACGAATTTTGTTATAGAAATTTCATTATGTTATACTTTCTTTCTTATCTATGAAACATAACTTGAAATAATTATTTGTTCCTTTATATGAGATCCAGTTCATACTATCTCATATAGTAATTATTTTTAGAATAAAATATCCTTTAATGAAAGTGTGTTCTCTTACTTTAGTAAAATACAATAATTATAAAATCTTTAAAAAGTATGAAGTGTAATTAGTTAAGAGAAAATGAGTATTAATCAGGAGAGATAAATAATATAAGACATGCACTCTAATTAGTTAAAAGATATATGAATATTAATTATTAAAGAGAAGTAATATAAAAATAGTTTTAAAAAAAAAATATATATAAGACAATTTTATTGTTATCAATTAAATTAATCATTTTTCTTAACTCAATGAATTAAATAATTAGATTTTATATAGAAATGAAGATAGATAATATTATCTTCATTCTTATTTATAAGATCCAACTTATAATAATTATTTATTCTTTTATATAAGACTTAATTCATATGGTCTCGAATATTAATTATTTTTATTCTAAAATACCCCAAATTAAAATGGGTTAGTAAAATATATTAACTATAAATTTTTTAAAGAGCCTGCACTCCAATTTTAATTGGTTAGAAAAAACAAAAGTGTTAATTAAGAAAAAAATTAATATAAAACATACACTCTAATCAGTTAAAAAATATATAAGTATTAATTAAAAACAATATAATAAAGATAGTTTAAAAATAACATATATAAATAGAATAAATTTATTATTATCAATTAAATAAATTATTTTTCTTAATTTTAATAAATTAAATAATTAGATCTTTATATACATACGAGAGAATGTAATAATATTTTTAATCTCAACTAAGATCTACATCTCTACTTGTTAATTGTAAGTGATAAAATTTAATAGAGGTGGAGTGCACGTGTTAATGGCATTGATTGAAGAAGAAAAATAGAGATATATAGGGTATTGTTGGATTCAATCAAAGAATAGAAACCTTTTAATACGAAGTGTTAGTTGCGAGAAGAACATCACTAAAATAATTATCACATACACAAATCGAATCTTAATAACATTGCGCCATTATTTTGGCGTCGGCTATGTGCAAAACATGATTCATCAAATCCTATACCCCAACACGTACAAAGATACAACTGGCCCTATATAGAATGAACAAAACATTAATTTATCAAGCACCATACTTTAAAACAACATCTGAACCAACAATAGTGACTAAGGTAGCATTAAAATCAAAAAGAAAAATCAAGAAAAATATTGGTAAAATTCTATCTAACACTTCCTTATTGGTGGTAGTCTCTTTATTATGAGTTAAAATTATAAATTTTGATACGTTTTACTACTAAATCAAAATAAATTCATTAGTGAAAATTTTGAAATTTTCGATATGTTTCGACTAATGAAAAATTTGAAGGAAATATTGCTAACATTTATAAAAACCAATTACATGAAATTAGCTAACACTAATGAATGAGTTCATGTTTGAGATGAAATCTAAACCAAGTGGTGGATAATTTTTAAAAAATCATATCAAACCAACCAATCTTGTTCTAAAAGCTCAAACCCCATCAAACCAAACCACCAAAACAATAATAAAAAATGAGGGATCAACACAAAATGGTTCCAATGAGATTTTTTTTTTGTTTTTGGCACATAGCTTTCAAGATCTTCTTGTGGGTTTGCGTTGAAATTTTCCTGGCTTAGCGTGAAGAGTTGGACTCCAATTAATACATGCTATTACTCCACGTCATCACACCATCCCACACCTTTAAACCCAAGAACCTCTCTATTCCCCTCTCACCTTCAATCCAATTCACAAACCAACTCACCAAAATCTTTCACTTTCTCTGCTTTTCCTCTGTTTTCCTCTGTTCCTCCTCTGTTTTTCTCTCATTATCACTCATAGAAATGGAGGGTCTTATTCCATTTGTTTACAAGGCTATAATTCAATACAAGAATGGGAAACAAGGGCCTATTGGTTCATGGCTTTGTGAGTCACCTTCCTACTCATACATGAAACTTCCCGGCGATTCGGGTCGGTTTCAAACCTCTGCTTCATCTCTGTTTAGTTCAGATCGTGGATTCTCTGTTTCTTCACCATCTTCCAAAGCTACAACTTCTTCAACCCAAATCATAGTTTCTTCCGGGATTCAATCTCCAAACCGTCGCTCGAGTTCTCCTAGCGTTTCAACGTGATATCTAGACCAACGTGGTATGGTACATGAATGTGATTACTACTTGTATTGTTAAGTGTTCAAGTTTGTGTTTTCAAATGGTTTAAGTTGGTTTAAGTTTGGGGTGTAGTTGGAACTTGCAAGCATGTGGATAACCAAAGGAGTCCTTTGCTTGCATTGGTTTATTGTGCAATTGTAAATATTTGGTATGACACTTATGAAGATGTGTGTGTTTCATGGCCAAAGGGTCATTTATATTATGAAATTGAAATGAATGTGTTTCTTGGCCTAAGGGGTCATGAAAACTATGAACGTGTACAATAATTAGATTGCAATTGTTTGTTTGTTTGTTTGTTTTATTTGTGTTTTAATGATTTTTCCTCCATTTTATGGGGTGGATGTTTCTTAGATTTTATTGGTATTCAAAGTATGGTTCTATGAGAATTGTTCATGAAAAAGAACTAGGAATTAGACCAAAAAAAAAAAATTGCACGTCATGAGAAGCAAAATGAGGGTATATTTATTATTCAGGGAATGTTGAAACTATCTTGTCAATGAACTAAAGACTAATTTTCAAACCCTTTTGGTCTTAATCATCTAACAAGATTTGCATAAAATATAGTTTCAACTATTTAATTATATCTTGTTAGGTGGATGATGGCGTGTACAACGGGAAATTGTCTTGTTCACAGTGTTTATGCATGTATTCAAGTTTCAACGTGTAAACCTAATTCCACTTGAAATTTTTCTTGTGATGATTAATATCCTGTTGCGTTTTGCTTCGTGGTTAATTTGAAACTATTTACTCCAATGATATTGATCTTCCTTTAAGAATGAGAGAACAAAATTCAAATTCTTCTTCACGTAATCACCACCATTTCAGAACAATAACACTGCATCCAATCTTGAATAAAACATGTGTATTTCTTTTGTTAGCTTTATGATAGTTCCTTGGATTTTGACGTGACGATGAAACAATGTAAAGTATGTTTCGATATTAATTTAGAATTACATTTATCCAAAAAAGAAAAATACGTACTTTAATGTAAAAAAAGTAAAAATTTGTGAGTATAATATATATTTTTTTAATTATAATTAAGTTAATCTCAATTGGTCTCTAGATACACACGTAATTTTCAAAATTTAGCATTGATTTTACTGAAAAGTAATTTTTTTTAAAGGTTGTGACTTACTTGCATTTTTAATCATCGAAAATATAGTTAAATTTGTTTATAATCCTCCAATTTTTTTATTTTTTTTTTGTAGACATTAGTTTTCATAAATTTTTTAATAGATAATTTTCTAAGATTTACAAATTTACGAAAATTAAAACAGATTAAAAAAAATTGGAAAAACTAAATACATATGGTTAAAGTTATTGTCTCATCCAAAATTATTTATGAAATTTTAAACCCAAAAAAAGTATTTCATAAGTCTTCAATACTTCTATAAAAAAACATAGGCAGTCTCTTCTAAAAGAAGAATGTACAACAGAAATTTCAATAAAAGTTTATAATAATGCTAACAGGTGATTTGGTATCGGTAAGAATCAAATTTAAAACCATTTAATCAATAAAGTCCAATCCTAAACGTTTTGTTAATTTTGGTATGTTTATGTTCTTTCAATGTTTAATATTTTTAGGGTTTAATTTTGATGTACCATCTATGTAAAGATTTATTTATTTGTTATATCAATCAATTAAAAGTTATCTTAAATATAACTTTTAAAGTAATTATTATAAGAATTAATAATTTTCAACTACATGACAATCCGCAGATGTAAAATCAAAAAATATATTAATAGTCTAACTCAATTGAAATATTGTTTTTTTAATAAAATTAAACTAGAATATTATCATCTAATCACGTATTGTAATGTACGAGAAAATTGTTGGACTTGGCAATAATTATTTCAAAAATCATATTTAGCATGATTTATAATCATATTATAAATTTTAGTCCTATAAAAAAATTATTTGATCCATATTATATGAAAATTAATGAATTTGATTATAATGTTAACCTGTCCATGTCAATTCTAACAAAATACCAATATATCAGCAATACCTGACAAAAAAAATGACATCGAATGTTGACATGTCAAGTGAGTTACACAATAACCTATTCTCTAAATTAGTTACACATCAGCAAATAAAAAAAATGATCAAATGATTACACAAGACCCTATTCTCCCGTTTTGTTTTGACCTATTTAGGTAAGATCCTAAATTTTCCACCCTAGCTGGTTGTTGTTGGATAATCCATTGTTAATAGTAATGATTCTTGCAATGTTAGTATGTGAAGAGAGCACAGGAAAAGAGATTTAATTTAGTACATGTTTCGTTTTACATGTAAGATTCACATTTATTTAAGAATCATGTTAAAATTAATAATAAAAAAGCTAATTATTGCTTTTAAAAATTCAAGTATTTAAAATGGTTTCCAAACATGCTATTAGCCTCTACATCGATTAGTATGTTATCAAAGATAATGCGTGGTTGTGCTGAACCATCCATTATTGACTTTGGGGAGTTCTAAAAATCCTTGAAGAATGTTTTGGAAGTATTGCAATTGAAAAGTAAGTGCACTTGATTATCACCAGTGTTTAAAGTTCATCACTACTATTTGTGATTTTATTTTGTTGTTTTTTTGTGTAGGTGGAACCTAATTGCAATTATTTCCAGTGAATGATGTGAAAAGCTGATGGATGATGAGTCAAGTATGTTGTTGTGGAGTTAAAGGACCAACCATTGAGAAATTCAAGAAGAATGTAAAGTGTTTGAGCTAACATTGGATTCCATTAACCACAACAAACAAGGCTCGAATCCCAAGATAATTATTTGTACATTGTAGAAGATAATTTTGTATGAACTAGTATTTTTTTAAATTGTATATTGTAATTATTTATGTATAAACTAGTATTTTGACAAATATGCATTTTATAATAAATAATTACTTTTAAATATATGAATTACATTATAATTAAAGTTTGTAATAAATATATTTTAACATAAAATTGTATTTTATGTTTATAATAAATACTTTATATTATGGTATAAAAAATATTTTTATCCATTGATATATTTTTAAATATATATAACTAAAAATTAATTTGAAGATAAACATAAAAATGATTAATTAAAAAGAGATAAGAGGTTGAGAAATTCTCTTAAAAATACTCTAATCAAAGAAAATCTTTTAAAAATGTTTTCATTAAAGAAAATTACTTAAAACATGCAATGAAATTCAAAGGTTGCAAAGAGATGGAAGGAGCTATTTGGGAGGCCTGTGTTGTTTGCGGGATGTGTCCTACGCAACAAACACAAGAAATAAAGAAATTTGGTGATGAGAGAAAGATTTGGTCTCAGAAAATGAATCAAAAAGCAGCGTGAATGTGATTCACATTCAAGATGGTCATTCTAATTTATATAAAGTAATGACTAAATATGGCAAATTTTATAGAGACTATGACATTATAGTTTCTACCAAAAAACAAAAAGATTCCATAGAAAATTTGTCTTATTATTTTACCGTATTACGCACTTGGATCATATTTTGTAATAAAAGAAACTTTGTATTTCCTAATGATATGATATAAGGGATCCTTTTCTTCTCATAATAAATCTCAAACATTTAAATTGATATAGAATACAAATTTAACAAATCTAACAATTAAAAACATGTTTGGTTCTAAGGTAACGGATTGACTTGAACATGGAAAGAAATTGAAATACAAACACATGGTAAATCATATGATATATTTTTAAATTATTATGCGTAAAAAGAAGTTAATTTAATGAAATATCAATTAATTTCTAAATTATATGAAGTTTTATAACTTTATTCTACTAAAGTAAAATTCCTTATCTAATAATTAGATTAATCAAATTCAATATTCATTACTGGTATAGAACCGTACCTTCCGTATATGTGTGTATGGGTAGGGGGATGTATAGGATTTTTATTAGTACTTGAAAAAGTGTAAAGTTAGGAATAACATGTTTTGCTAGCATGGGACAGTAACGAGGAATATTTTAAAGCACATAAATGGAATCACATATTAGTCAATAAGAAGAAAATGTGATTAAAACGCAAAGTTAATGGAGCCCACAATTAATGGAATTTGAAAGACAGCATTTAAGCCTGGTATGGAACCATGATGTTGAGGAAATGTCTTGCTACAGATAGAAGCTATTCTGCTCTTTGTACTTACCACAACTTTTAGTTAGGGTCCACATTCATTAAGACGGTAGTGAATCTTAGTAGTGACATGTCCTTTTAGGTGACACGTATATATTACTTAATGTGAACAGAAAAATAAATACTTAAATACAAAAATAATTTTTCGTACACCCATATGGTAGCACTTACATACATTACTCTTACTCCACCAATTATTGACAAAATTGATAGATACGTGACACTAATAACATGATTAAAAAAAAATTACATTTGCTCCTCTATTACCCAAAAAAACATTACAACACATACTCTATAAGAGAGTGTCGGTGTAATTTGCTCTTAAAAATAACTCGGCCAAAGTAAAATACTATAGCCAATTTGCATATATGATGGATTTTAAAGTACAGTAACGTGAGATGTGACTACAGTTTCTTTCCATGTTTTACAGGCAGTAAATAAGATTACATACAACCGCATGCACCAAGCAGAAGGACAATATCTTAACTAAAATAAGGAAGTGAGTTTACAATATCATGTCCAAGGCTTAGATTAAACCAGAACCTATATCTAGAATGAGAGGCGTGGCAAGATTGAAAAATGAAAAATCAATCATAGTTTTGAGAAGGGAGACTAGGGAAAAAATTTGCCACATGTCATGGCAAATATTGATACAACAAAATTTACAAGACCTATCAAAGATACTGAGATATCTATGGTGGTCATATGTATGTCTAGCAAAGAAAATAAGTCAGGCTAGACCGAGGCCAAGATCCAAAACATCACATGCGATGACATTGCTGTAAGAACCCAGGTCACAAAAGCCATGGCTACAGAAATCTGGTACCTGTTGCAAGCGAGATGGTTCTTATTTGTCACACACATGTTCAGGTCTCTGGCATATAATACTACAATCCCTGCTGATGAGCATGCAGCTGCCAGTGATAAAGTTGCCGTTACCTGCATTTCATAAACCACTATGATATCATCAGAATATAAAAAACGTGCTATAGAAGAAAAGGGAAATATTGATTCCTATCCCATCATTTTTGGAAAATAAAATTCAGAAAATGAAGCCTGGACTAGTCAATATTACACTAGAGGTTTTAAGTTTCACCAAGCACCATTAACAAGATAAACCTAATAGAGAACCATTATTCAGAATTAGTACCTGGATAATAATGGAGCAATTGATGTTCAATTTTAAGCTTTGAAAATTCCTTTACAAGAAAATTATGTTTACATAACCCCCAGCAGTAACGTGAAGTTGTAATTGACACGTATTCATTAGTTTATTAGTTGCTTTTTAGTATAGAAGCTCGCACAAAAATTGAAGACACAGTGTGACATTCAGATTTAAGATGTTGCAGCATTAAAATATTTAATTCCAGCTGGTATTTTTGTGACCATCTCAAGTATTTAGTAACTACCAGCCATAAAAGTTGAATTCGTGATGCTAATGTTTAAGCATGTTATCGTCCTCTGAAATTATTTTTCCACGTGAAATAGGAAAAAGATAAGGAAGGTTGCATGACTATTACCCAATCACCTACAACAAACAGGCTGACAAGAATAGGATTTTGTAAGTCTCTTTTTCTCCTCAAGGCATAAATATCAAGACATGCAAGACCAAAGCTCCAGAGTACTTGAAGTCCCATTGATGCAATTAAATAGCTGAAAGTGCAGGGCAGTACCAGAGTTATGTTCACATGAAAATATGACAATCTATTTAAGACAAAAAAGAAAGGAATCACTCTCTACTTGATAGAAAAACAAAAACAAGATAACATTAAGTGGTGAACATTTAAGCATATTTTTAACCAGTAAATAATACTACCTGAGAATCCAATGCAATGAACAAATAACTTACACACTTCTTACAAGTTACAACAGTGCCCATGACAGACACACAAAAACCCATTAGCATCTTACATGACAAAGTAGTCCTCTAACTACATTTAACCAAACTATCTGGCAGGAACAAGCAGTCAATTCCTGTATTCCAATTAGACCAGAACCCTAGGAATTTTTTAATCTCAAGGAATAAGGCTAGAATTTGACACTCATTCATTGCTCAATTTCAAAATAATCAACTAAACATGTAAATATAGAAAATCATCACCATATCATTAAATCTTCTATACATAAATCATTTCCAATTTTAGTTGATTCCTATGAACTCCTTTTAGCGTAATTCAATAAGTTTTGTGGTAAAGTTTATCAAAGTAAGCTCTTTATAGTTCATTTCAACGACCTTAATGGCCAAATTTATGATATAAGCTCCCATGTGATAATGACTTATTGAATAAATGCTTAATTAAGTTGTTTACCCAAACACACCAGCAAAGATTTGAGGAGTAGAAGCTGTCATTAGTTATATTATGTTCAAACAGAGAACTATAAATGTTACAAAGAATGCATCTCCTTTACACATTCTGACACGGCTGAATAAGTTGCTTGATTGGATACTAATACGGGATTTATTACTCTCCCTTTTAAGCAAATTAGAAACATCTCGTTCATAAAAGAACCAACTATCCACATTGCAATATACATCTAAATGTACAGAAGTTTCTCAATCCAATAGGGGACTTTGAACCCTCCGGTGCATATTCAAGCTTGAAAACTCGTAAGCTTGAGCTCTGAGCTGGGGGCTGTGCATCATTCTGGTTGAATAAAGTCCAGCCCAATGCCCCTACAAGTCTAGAACCTAGTTAGAAAAAGAGGGATAGTTTATGGAGCTATAAACAAGCCCTGAACATGGTCAATTAAAGAGCCTTTGTCATGATGATTGAGCTATATTTTATTCTAACTGAAAAAAACATCAAACCCATCTTCACCCTTACGCTCATATTATTTCATTGATTAATAATCTAGGTCAGTATACTATCTTCCTACATTAGTTTTGCCTCTGGGAGATTCGTGTAAACAGATGTGCTAAATTCAGTAGGTAGAAAAAGCCAAAAATTGGAAAATTCGGAACGAATAACCAACGTTTTCCTTTCTTCTTTTTCAACTCGGAACAACCTAAAACAAGTGTAACTGATCTTCACTGTTAAGAATCAGTTTGCCATCCTTCTAAAACTGGGGTAAATCAAATTTAATTTTTATTTTTTTTTTGAAAAAAGAAAAGGTTTTTTTCCGGCAAATTGTCACACATAATATTCATCGTTGAATTTCCCATGCCCCACCACATCCTTCAATTGAAAATTCCATTTTCATACAGTCCTCTATTTTGTCTGATACCCACCCACACCACTCACACCCAAGTGACACCATCGTCACTAAATGCTCATGAAGTTTCCGCTACTGTTCCAGCTTCAATCATATTCACACCCAATTTTTCCACAACAGGAACAGTTCACTAAAGGCATTTTTGGGAAGCAAACACAAAAAAGGGAACATTATGAGGTAACCTTCCCTTGTTCATTTTCACAAACATTTCACCACTCCACCCATCCAAACACGCCCTAAACAAAGAAACCCCCACATGAAAAACACGCACCAATCGTCACTTAAATTTACCATATTTCTGAGATAAAAAGTAAAAGAGAGAAATTGAATACCAGAAAGCGGTGTAGCTAGAGAAGCCAAGAGCAGTGACCATGAGTGAAATTGAAGCCGCACCGAAGGCGCATTGGCCGAACCTCAAGAGAAAGCCGCTAATGGTTCCGGGCCCACCCAACAAGCGCTTCATCATCCCCTTTCTTCTGTTGCTTGGAGAAAAAAAGAGGGGAAATGAAACCCTAATTTTGGAGGGTTTCTCTATCCATTAGAGGAGGCTTTTGTTCTGTTCTGTTCTGTTCTGTTCCTTCCTCACTACTCTCCCACCATGGGTAGTGAAAGCAATTTGAAGAGAGAGAAAGGGGAATGGGAATCGAGAGGGTACAAGAGTTTGGGGAACAACACCTTTTGTGCAATGGAATCGTTGGCTAACTCCTTCCCTCATCCTTTTCATTTTTTTACTATTTATGTCTCTCTTTTAATTTCATGTGTATTGATTATTTCTTTTTAAAATACTCTTCTTTAACTAATAACTTTTTTGCAAACTTGAAATTAATGGTATCAAAACTTTTTCTCGTATTAAAATTGAAACAGATAAATAAAGTTAGAAAAGAGAATCACTAAGTAAAATGTAAAATCTATCAAATTTCATGTTTTTCGATAAATTTCATTTAATTATAAAGAATATGTTTAAAAGAGTATTGATAGTATTTCTTTTATATATATATATATATATATATATAGTAAATATTAATTAATTAGGTGAAAAATAATTAAATAAGAAGAGAAAAGATTAATTTAAAAAAATAGTTTAAATTATTGATAAATTAAATATTTTAAGCTTAATTAATTAATTTTTTAAAAGATGTAATTTAGTTTAAAAAGTCTTATAATTATAAAAGGATGTAATAAATAAAAATAACTGTGTTTGAATGAGGAATTTTATAAATTTATGGTGTGTTTGGATGAGAAATTTTACAAATTCAAGGAATTTAAAATTCTTGGTATTTAAAATACTTTGATTTCAATTTCTATCATTTTTAAAATATTTTATTTGGATAAGTCAATTCAATTTTTTTAAAATTTTAAATTGTTAATTTGGATATGATAATTTGATTCTGCCATGGTAAAATTGATTTTAAAAATATATTTATATGTTGAGATTTTAAATAAAATTTTATAAAAATAAATATTAGCCAATTTTTAAATATTTAATAATTTAAAAAATTAATATTAGATAATATTTAATAATTTTTAAAGTATTTTTGAATATTCAATAATTAAAAATATGAAGAGATAAGATAAAAATATATAAGTGAAATAAGGAAAAAAACATGAGGAATTTCAAATTCTTACTTTTTTGAGAGAATTTGAAATTCTACTATTTTAAGGAATTTCACAAATGCTTGGATTTCAAATTCTTTGTAAATTCTCTATCCAAACAAAGTATTTCACCTCAAAGAATTTGAAATTCTTGGTATTTGAATTTCTTTGATTTTAATTTCTGTCATTCTTAAAATATATTGTTTAGATGAGTCAATTAAAATTTCTTAAATTTTAAATTATTAAGTTATATATGATAATTTGATTTCACTATGGTAAAAATGATTTTAAAAACATATTTATATATTGAGATTTTTAAATTAAATTTTATCAAAATAATATTAGCTAATTTTTAAATATTTAGTAATTTTAAAAATGAATATTAGATAATATTTTTAATAATTTTTAAAATATTTTTGAATATTTAATAATTAAAAATATGAAGAAATAATAGATAAGATAAAATATATAAGTGAAATAAGAAAAAAAAATATAAGAAATTTCAAATTCTTACTTTTTTGGGGAGAATTTGATATTCTACTATTTCAAGTAATTTCATAAATGTATGAATTTCAAATTCTTTATAAATTATCTATCCAAACAAAGTATTTTACCTTAAAAAATTTGAAATTCTTCAAACAAATGAATTACTCCATTTAAATTTATTACCCAAACACTAACACTAGTGTAACAAGTATATTACTAGTTTGTTACTTAAAATTTGTATGGAACTTCCATTTTAATGGTCAAAGAAGGAAAAAAAATTTTAACTACATTGGATACTTATTTTGAGAACACTTAGAATTTCTCATAAAAATTAGTCATTATTTTTAATAGATGGAGATTAGTTATTTTTTAAAAATATTTTATATTAATATCATAATTAAAAAAGTTATATATATAATCATGCATAGTTTTCCAATAATTTGTTAATAGTGTTTTTTACGGCTTTTTAGTAGTGTGACGTTGACTTTTTTATTTTTTAACATAATCTCTCTAATATTAAATTTTATTCAAAAATATAAAAGTTGGTGATTAGATTTTAGTCATTTATTATTTGATCTGCTGAATTTTTATTATTTGAGTTGCTGGTTCTTGATGTGTTATTGTGCTAATTTGTTTTTCTTCTGGTGACTTCCTGTATCATATTCCCCTCTTCTTTTCCATTAGCTTGTTGATTTAGGCTAATTTTTTTATTTATTAATGTGAACAATTACATCAGAAAGGCTAATGTCTCATGTCCAGAGTTCCAATAACATCACCGAGCAAAAGGGAAAATATAATAGTTGAATCTTAAGCTACAAAATGCATTAGATTAATATAATAAAATATTTTTTATTCTTAAGCCATTGTGCTACAAATCTTATTTTTAAGACACTATTTCTACCAGCTAAACATACTCCAATGAAGAAAAAAAAAAGTAATTGTATCTTAAAGATAACCAACCTTTAATAAGTGATAATGATGTTTTTAGAGATTAAAATGAAATATTTAAGTTAATTTTTATTTTTTTCTTTCTTTCATTATTTTTTTTTCTTTCATTATTCCTCTTTTTTTTTCTATTTTCTTTTTCACTCTTTTTTTTATTATCTCTCTCTTTTATCTTTTATCCTCCTTTATTTCTCTTATTTCTCTTCCTTGATTCTCTTTTCAATCTCATGTTTTCTCTATCTTTCTCTCTTACTTACCTTTCTTCTAGCTTAGTCAATCTCTTCTTTTTTCTTTCTTTCTTTCTTTCTCTCTCTCTCTTATCTCTCCTCATTCTCTCTCCTTTCATTTCTCTCTCTTTCTTTGCCTCCTTTTTTTTTAATATCTCCCTTTCATTTCTCTATTTTTTTTTCTTTTTTCCTTTTTCTCTAACATCACTATATATCTTAAAAAAGACATGTAGAGAAAATAAAGACACTTGAAAGAAATTGAATAGTATAAAAAAAACTCATGATTTTTTCAAACAATAAAGTAGTATTGTAAGCATGAAAGGAATGCAGACAAAGTAATAAGTAAAGAACACAAGGCATTTTTGTACAGGTTTGTCTTAATCGTCAAGACTAATTATAGTTCTTAATTAACTCGATCAAGTTTTACTATTTTTGCAAAGATACAAGTATTCTTCCATGCACCACTTGTGGCTTAACCTAAGTATTATTTGATATTTTCTTCTTTAAGCAACTATCCAAGTATTTTTTGAACAATGAAGTTTTTTCAAGTTTCAAAAATCAAGTATTCTTTTAACAACGAAACCTTTTTAGGCTTCAAAAACCAAGTATCCTTTTATAATAGCCCCTTCAAGCTTCTGCCTAAAACACAAAGTTAAAGTTGAGTAAAGATAACAAGTATTTTATCTTTCTCACAAGATGTAATACAACTTTTAAGTTTAGAGCTTTACATAGAAGAAAAAAATTAATAGAGTAGTTGAAGTTGTTCTCTTTATGTTTTTTGAGTGCCTAAACTTCTTTATATAAGCTTCACTCGTAGGTTTAATTACTTTATCTTTCTTCGTCTTTCTTCCTTTAGAATAAGATGTTTGTTAGTACATTAAATGTGTTCTACCAAATTGTCACTTTTTATCCGATCAAGGAGGCTACTTATCACCTTTATGGTTTAAAACAAGAGAAATTTTTGTGTGTGTCAGTCAAAAATAAATTTTTAGGTGACTTTGTGCACTTTGAGATATATGTTTGTTATTTCTTTGACAAAAAGAAAATCTTTATGTATTCCTTTTTGAAGTTCAAGTACCAAAAAAAATTCATTCTGTTAAGGAATAACATAGAGATTAATGATATAGTTATCAGAATTATTAAATGATATATTTAATACATTCGTCTTAGACAAACAAAGTGTTTTGTTTGTGTAACACTATTGATTTGGAGGTGCTATAATTCAATTTTGAGTGATTGTATGAATTGTGTTGTTCAATTTTTATTTTTATTTTTGCAGACTTTGGAGTTAGGGGACTCTAAGAGTTGAGTTGTCTTTGAGAGCGAGTATCAAGTAAAGTTTAGTTGGGTCAACTTAGGAAGATTATATAAGGTTTTCTTAAAATGAAGACCTCATAAGTCCAAGTTTTAAGAATTTTAGAGAGAAGTTAGTGAAAGACCCTTTGGAACTTAGAACCTCTCCCTTCTTCCTTTTCTTAAAATCTCTTCCTTCTTTTGGTAGCTAATTGGAGTTGTTGAGTTGGTGATTCGAAACTTGTGGAGTTGAAGTTTCTGAGTTAGATTCATGTAGTTTCATTCTTCCATTTTTCCTTTTCTTGGTTCGGATCAATAAGAGGTAAGGAAAGCTTGTGTTTTACGTTGTTGATATTGAAATGCTTGTTGTTTGATGTTCAAATTTGTTGGTGCATGAACGACTTGGTGAAAATCATAGAATGGAAAGATGCTTTTAGAAGTGTTCTTAAGAATGGTATTATTGAGTGATTTGAGTGAATATGTTTTGTAGTGGTTGCATGTTGTAATTTAAGTTGTTTCCAAGTTGTTTTTGATGCCTATGCCTTATTTTGTGCATTGTATGTTGGAATTTAGCTGAGTTTCAGGTGGATTGACTTGAAATCGAGTCCTTCTTAAGTACAACACTGATATTGCGTTGGACGTATCTTCATGGTGTCGAGCATGACTCTAAAGAGGGGTATTTATTGTTTTCTCATATCGGGTGCATGATTGGTGGCGTTATGCATGAGGAGAGAATGATCTCGAGTTGGAATCACGTCGAGTGTAGGTTGAATGGCATCAAACATGAAAAGGGAGACTCAACTTTGACTAGATCCACACTGGACACTAGCAAAGTGGCATCGAGCGTCATTCAAGCAAAGACCTTTTGCATAATTGGGGTTAGACATGGGTTTTGCCACCCTAAGCATGAGAGAAAGGGAGACTCTCTATCTCAACCACATCGAGCATGAGTGGTTTGGTGTAAGGCGTGGGTGAGACGGGGAGTTTTATACCTTTATGGTGCCCAATGTCTTATGAGTGGCATTGGATGCAAGTTGCATTATGAAAATTGTTGTTTTAAATCATTTTAATAGTTGAATAATGATGAATAGGTTGTATGGATGATGATGTATGTATGGAATCACGTCGAGTGTAGATTGAATGGCATCAAACATGAAAATGGAGACTCACCTCTAACTAGGTCCACGTTGGA